GGAAAGTCAAGTGAGTACATTTATTGTATAAAATCAATACAATTAAAATGTTTAAATTGTAAAGTATGTTTTACAATATTTACTAAGTTTTATTTAAGGTATGGAAAAATATTTATTCGTGAGTTTTAGAGTATGAAATGCTCTAAAACTAATGAATAAAAGAATAATGCATATGGGTACATTAGTGGCATGAAAGGATGCCTTAGCTGATATGTATATGGGTACATTATCGGCATAAAAGAATAATGCATATGGGTGCATTAGTGGCATGAAAGGATGCCTTAGCTGACATGTATATGGGTACATTATCGGCATAAAAGAATAATGCATATGGGTATATTATCGACATAAAAGAATAATGCATATGGGTGCATTAGTGGCATGAAAGGATGCCTTAGCTGATATGTATATGGGTACATTATCAGCATAACAGAATAATGCATATGGGTGCTTTAGCGGCATGAAAGGATTCCTTAGCTGATATGTATATGGGTACATTATCGGCATATCAGAATAATGCATATGGGTGCATTATTGGCATGAAAGGATGCCAAAGTTGAAATGCATATGGGTGCATTATCAATATAAAAGTATGCTATAATGAAAAAGTTAATGGTATATGATAAAGGTGAATGGACATTATTAATGAAAATAAGGATTAACGATCAATGTTTATGACAATTTCAATCTATTAAGTGTATGAATTTTCGTATAAGAAATATATATGTATAAACATAAGAATTTCATAATAAGAAAAATGGGTCTTTATATTGGTAATGGGTATACCAACCACATAGATTATAGAATGGTTGAGGAATAATGGTATAAGCACTACATGTGCATCTTAATAAATTAACAGAAATAAGAAGCTGGTAAATTACCATGTGAGCACTAAGGGTGCGAATGTATAAGGTTTATAATAAATTAAAAGAGAGTTAATGGATATTAAAAGTAAGTATTAGAATAGAAACTATTCCAAAATAAAAGATGTAATGGCCTAGCTGTGCAATTGACAGAAAGGTGTCGATTATGCCAGATAGATGAACGATTAAGTATCGTTGAGCAAAAGAATAATGGTTTAACTGTGCAATTGGAAGAAAGGTGTCAATTATGCCAATTAGATGAATGGTTAAATAGTATTGAGTAAGATAATAAAGGAATTTTAATGTATTGTGATATGAATGGTGCATAAGTGATATGAAGGGAGATATATATATAATGTACAACAATGCATAATTAGTAGGAATGAATGTTATAAAGGAAAACCTAAACAAAACATTAAAGGCATGAAAGGATGCCATAAAGGAAATGTATAATAGTATATAAAAGTATGACAGGATGCCATAATGGAAATGGTATAATGGTGTATTATAAGCATGATAGAATGCTATCAATGAAAATAAAGGTTTAGGACTAAAGCGATAAATAGAGAAGAAAAATATAGAGAAAGATATGTATGCTAGGCATACTAAAATACTTAAGATAATGGTGAATGGAATACAGTTTAAATGAGGAGGATCATAGAATCCTTAATGAATATACGATTTAGTACAAATTAAATAAAAAAGACTTACTTAAATATACAAAAAAAAAGTTACTTTATAATATTATGTCTCACTAAGTAAATACTTAACGTGTGTTGTTTCCACGCGTAGGTAAAAATGAAGATAAATTGGGTAAGGAGTGTTGCAGTAGCAGTGGGTATCATTAGTTAAGGTTGACTCTCATCAATAACGGTAGGAAAATCTTATTCAATTTAAGAACTTAGTTGGCATGTAATTAAATTATGGTAAATATTTTGTAATGTAATTAAGTGAAGATTTTAGGATGTTATTTTCAAAATTGTCCTATTTTGTTGTTAATCGAATTGAAACAAAATTTTATGGGTTTTCAAATGATAAACATTATTTTTAAAGTGATGTGACATCTATATCTCGTGTACGAAATGGTATACAGGAGATGGGTGTTACAGTTTTGGTTACCCATTTCGGTGGTCCCGTGTGTTGCTCTAATCCTTTGATCTTCAGGTCAGATTAGATTAGGGTGTTACATTGTTAATGCGAATGATATCATTTTATTACTTTCAACTAATTTGGTTTATCGTGGATACTTTCTTTTACAAATTTATTATACTTTGGTAATATTTTTGGTCTAAACCAGATTTGTTAAAGCAGCTTATAACATTCCCAATCTCAACCTAATTTCTTAGCGAGGGGTATCATTTTTGGGCACAACCAAATTTGTTAACATTATTGATAACATTTTTGGTTTTCAACTTATCTTGTTACCGTCCTTATTTTGTTGACCCAATTTTAGAAACTCAGGTAACATTTTTGGGTGCAACCAGTTCTGTTATTGCGAACTATAACATTTCTAACTTCCAACCTAATTTCTTACTATCAGTATTTTGTTGACCTATTCAGCATATAATAGTAACATTTTCATGTGCAACCGATATTGTTATCATCAAATATAACATTTTCAATTCCTATTTATAACATTATGTGCTTCGCTTTTACAATTAATCTATAATTACTATTATTAGTTTCATCATTTATTAATCTTATTTTAATGATCGCACAACATAGCTTCTCATTGAATTTAGGGAGAAATGATTGATACATTTTTTAATTAGAATTTGTAAAGAAAGTTGCCATCTTGTTTTAGGGGTTTTTACTGAAAAAATCAATAAAAATATAAAATTATTGAAATAACATCATTTGACAATAATTAGCATAATGTCATTTTTTGTACAACATGACAATAAGATGCGTTTTGTTGGATGCGCTTTGCCTACGTGTCAATCCCTGTTAGTAAAGGTGCTTTTTATAAGACGCGTCTTATGTTGATCTAGCATGCCACCTAGGAAACACGTCCTGGAGGTCGCACTTTACGTTGACTTGGTAAAGGCATTTTCTACAAAAAAAAAACGACTTTGTTGGGATTTTTTACTCCCCATCATTTCCCGCCCTCGTTCCTCACCTTTCCCACTTACTTCCATACCTTTCTCCCTCCCCGACCCCTCTATAAACCCCCATCTTTCAAATCACAAAAAACAAAATCATATTATCTACTTTCCTTTCTTCTTTTTAATTTCTTTCTATTGGGTTCATAACGTTCAGCTTAAAGTATAATTTTTTTTATTCTTTTAATAAATGTATTTAATTTTTTACTTAATTTTAGTTACTAATTTTTTAAATGTGTCCAATTAAAAAATGGAAGGCATGCTTTGCGATTAAATGAAAATCACATTTCTTCTCATTCTACGAATATGATAAAACTATTTAATTATGTTTACTTAATTTTCTTATAATTTTACTGAATATTTTAACTTTTTGTATATTAAATTTTTTATCAATTATGAAAATAATCGTGTATTGGAAGTGTTTATCCATAACACTAAGATGTCCACACCGGCTCATATTTGGAGTTATGTAGCTAATGTTGGATTTGGGTACGCATAATAAATGATTACAGGCTGTAAACTTCAACTAACCCTTATTTTTGCATTAACTTAGAGGTGGAGACTAGAGATACACACATTCCATCTTCCATGTGGGGAGTTCACCATTACTCTAGACGATGTTTCAATACAATTGAGACTTCTAGTAGATGGATGTGTTCTTACTGGTGTGGAGGTGGATAATTGGCATGGTTTGTGTATGTAGTATCTAGATAGTCCTCGCCTTCGTTCAATAGAGGTCGAATCACATTAATATCACTTCAAGAAAATTTTCGAGAGTTGGACGAAAATTGTTCTGATGAGTAGGCAAAAGCATTTGCTCGAGTATATATTTTATTACTTACATGAGGAATCTTGATGTCCGACAAATCTTGTAACCAAGTGCATGTTATGTGGTTGCGTCACCTCGTTACTTTTGAAGAAGCAGACTCGTTCAGTTAGGGATCAACCATTTTAGCATGTCTCTTTAGATAATATGTTGAATAACGAGATATACCAAAAATAGTATTGGCGGTTGTATCCTTCTTCTACAATCTTGGGCGAGGTATCGCATGTCTTTTTTATGTCTGATCGTAAAAAAGTCATTTGTCTTCCCTTTTTACTAAGGTAATTTCAATACTATTTATTTATAAATAATTTCTTACTAAACAATTAATTAAAATATTTTTATATTAAATAGGTGGTCGCCATCAATAAAAAAAACCATTGTGATATACCTAATGAATTATAAGATATCATGTCATTAATAGAGTAAAAATCAGGCTCAGATGTATACTTTTAATTATTAAATTTTAAATTTTTTATTTTATTATTGCTATGATTATAATTTTATTTAAATTTTGATAATAAATATATTTTTTTCACTTCCAATAGATGCCCTATATGAATAAAGAAATGAGGGTTTGTATCTCACCTGACTTGATGGATCTATTGGACGTATAGTTTGTGGTTGTGCCTCTTATATGTTATGCTACTGTCGAGTGGCATCCGAGTAATCATGTGCTTTGTCAATTTGGTTTCACATAGTTTATTACGAAAGCACCCATGAATCTCGGCATAACCTTCACAAACAAGACAAGCATGGTGTTGATTAGAGAAGCATATCTATTGGATAGCGACGTGGGAGCACCAATATGAATACCTTCTCGTTTAATTATATTTTGAAAATTGATTTCATGGTTTTACTTGAATATATTTTTCATGGTTCAACAAAAATAGGAAAAATTCACACTTTCTAATGAGACATGAGGCAAGTTTATTCATCGTCATCAGGAAAAATGTCCACCACAAAGTATCATTGTTCCCCAATAATCGTGGACGAACAACAGACACTTTTAGCCCGTGTTCAATAGTGTCACCAAAACACCATAACTAGGGATGTAAAACGAGCCGAGTCAAGCTCTAATATTGTTGAGCTCAACTCGAACTCGAAAACTTTAGAAGCAAGCTCGACTGAACTCGAAAAGTAAAAATTATTAAACTCAACTCAAACTCAAAATATAATATTAAAACTCAACTCGAATTCGAAAAAACTCAAACTCAAGAAAATTTCAAAAGCTCAATTAAAACTCAAGCTCGATTTTAAGCTCAATTCAAGCTCGATTGAAAATAATTTTCAACTAGCAATTGATGCGCCTCGGTTAGAACCTCATGAGTTGCGTCATTGCGCCCAGCGCAAAGCTGCCCTTAGCCTGCGTATCCTCGCCTTTTATAATATCCCCAACGCAAAGCTTCCTTAAACCTACCGATGTGCGATACTGGGATATAGTAAAAGATCATCTTATTATTTGAAAATACGCGCATTTGTCCCTATTTGTTTTCCTTAAACTCACATGTTTAAAACAACAACAACAATAGCAAATCTCTGGAGCTCTCCACCTGATAAATCCCTAACATTACGGTCTATTATCTGATTCAGTTTAAGATCGGCACAGAAGAGTTCAGCCTTCATATCTCTCTCATCTTTATGGTCAAGCACCTGTCCGACATTGGCTTGAACTGCCTTTGGAATATGATCAACATACTGTGGCTTGATGATGACCTGTTTAACATAAAAATTATCAGAAAATATTAAGGAAAACATGGAATTGCAAGGCACTCATCAAAGTTTCTATAATCAGGGCTGCAACAGTATTAAAAATATAAAAGTTGACAATATAGTAAACAATTATTATCGATCATTGAATTTTCTTCTGTAAGCTTCATATATGTAGCTTTACATAACAAGTACAATTCTAGGTGATTCAACTATAAAATCTTAACTGCAAAACTAAACTAGCTTAACTTTGCAGAAGCTTTTCCCAAGGATGCTTAAGAGGTAAGATTGGGACAAATAAAGAAATTCAATACCAATGCTGGAAATACAATAGAAGTAGAAGAAACAAAAAGTTTATGGTTAAACTATAGGTGAATATTTGAATCTAGTGTATAACACAAAATCGTTTTAGGGAAGAAATATTAATATCGGGGCTCCTGCATACATTGAATGTAGCTCAAAAACACAGCATGTTAAACGTCATCCATTTATCCTTCATATTTTTGAACCGGAAATTTGTGTATATTTATTTTGCATGTTGATATGTTTATGTATAAGTATGCGAATGATTTATTTAGGAGTCACATAACATCATTTTGCATAATTTGTATGTTACCTTCATGTGCATAACTTAACTCCTATCACATAATTAGACTAAGGGTTTAGGGTTTAGAGTTTAGGGGGTAAGGTTTAGGGTTTTTATAATTATCAATAGTGTATTTTTAATATATTTTTAATAATGTAATTTTAAAAAATCTAAAATTATAATATAACATTTTTTTCGAGCTGCTCACGAGTTTTTCAAGTAGAATATCGAGTAGCTCGTTTCGGCTCGTTAAGAACTCGAGTCAAGCTCGAGCTCGAGTTGAGTCCATTCGATCCGAGTATTTATCGAGCCTTGATCGAGTAGCTCACGATCTGTCTCGTCTCATTTACAACCCTAACCATAATATCCACCATCCAGACGATTTTGAGCCCATCGATTTACATGTTGAGCCCTCCAGTTAACATGTCAAGCCCGAATGGTTGTTATATTCTGAGCCCGCCAGTTTATATTTCAAGCCCATTGGAGGCTATTATACTCCTATGGACTCGACGTTTGCTTCATATGCATCGTATCTAACGGGTGGTGCTCATCCACCAATACCACCACCGCATTCAGGCCAGTTACCGATGTAATTTTTTTCATCATTTTTGCAGTTATCAGCAAACGCTGGGATTGTTCATTATACACGTCCACATTCATTATTTCATGAAGGTTCATCTTCGACATCGGCTCTGACCCAACAAGATGAAGTTGATGTCGATCAAGATGATGAGTCAGAAGAGGAAGAGCAACTTATACGAAGAAATCCTGCTCAAAATAGACAATCACCGCCATGTGAAACGCATTTAAGAAAAAGAAATAGTTAGATTTTATATTATGTTTTTATGTTTTTAATTAAATATTATATTTTTATATTTAGCTTTAATGTTTAATTTTATGTTTTTATTTGAATATTATGTTTTCATGTTATGTTTTTATATTTATGTTTAATGTTATCTAGTTTTTATGTTTAATTTTATTTAACTGAATAATATATGTTTTAGTTGTATATTTAATATTTATTTTTTTAAATAAAATGTAAAGTCGAGTTCTACATAACATACCTTTTAGGTGAACTATTACATCAACATAAGGCACTTCCAACAGAATGCGTCTTTGTAGAGTTAGATGGCATGTGTCACGTTGTACGAAAGTAACATTTCAATAAATATTGCTCAAAGGTTACTATTTCGATAGTTTTACAATTGTTAGTATTTTTCTGTAAAAAAATAGAATTGTATAGATGATGTAATTAATAAATATTTATTATTAAAAGTGTTCAAAAATACCCGACTCGCTAATATGTCGTCCCGAACCTTAAAAACCGAATAATTCTCTAAAAAAATTACTCAACCGGGCCGGGTACCCGACCCGTGATTTTTTACGGGAAGTTGGGTTGGCTATGGGCCAAAAGTTTTTAATAACTGGGTACCCGGCCCGACTCGATAATATATATATATATATATATATTAGTTTAAATTAGATTTTTCTTTTAGGTTCCTTAATATTTTTACCTTAAAATTAAATATAAATCCTAATTATTTTTCTTAGATTTGTATTATATACTTTTAAATTTTAAATTTTATATATTTTGTTTTGTTAATTTATCAATATGTGATTAAAAAATCATGATGGATATTATTTACTTTATTTTTTTCCTTTTGGAAATATACTTCAATATATATATATATCATTAAAATAACTTCAAATCACTAAGTTTTGTGCATTGATTGTGTATAATGAACTTTTTAATTTTTATATAATTTCTATATGGTTTTAAAAAAAATTAAAATTAAAAAAATAGATGAACTGGGTACCTGTGACACGAAAATACATGTATCCGGATTTTACAAGTACCCGACTTACAGGTATCCAAACTTAATAGACTTAGTCATGGATCGAAAAATATACTATCCGGTACTTCGGGTACCCGAAAATTAGGATCCCCGGTTTTGAACACCCATATTTATCATATTTTATCTTTTATAAAAAAACATTTAACATGAAAAGTGGCTAAAATTATTTAAATTGCCACGTGGATTGGTGTGATTTTATAAGGGTTAATAACATGAACGGTCACTTATGTTTATGTTTTATTCACTTTTGGTAATTGGTTTCAAAAAGAAGAAGAAGATATGGTCATTTTTGTTTTTATTTAATAAAGATATAGTCACTTTCGTTTTTATTTAATTAAGATGTAGTCACCTCGAGTTAATTGTCGTTACAGCAGTTAAATATTTTGATATAATCACACATTTGGTCCATGTTATTTACATATTCTCTCAGTTTAGTCATACTTTTAATAAATTTAAATAAATTTAATCCCCCAATTGAATGATGACACATGTTATGTCACGTTGGGTGTTTAAAAATACCCGACTTGGTTGACCCGATCCGTCGACCCGCTGACCTAGTTAAAAAGAATCGGGTATTTATAATAAAAATACCATATTTTCCAGGTCGGGTACTTGCCTCACTATTTTTTTGGGTTTCTGGATCAGGTTGGGTCACAAAATGTTGATTAACTGGGTACCCGCTGACCTGGTACCTGATTTATTATATATGTATTTTTATATTATATTAAAATTTTGTATTCATAATACTTAATTTTTTTCACTCCAACATTATAATTTTTTTTAAATTTTGACATCATAACGTTCTAAATTCTTAATTTTTTAAATTATCTCACATTAACGTTCTAAATTATATTTTAAAATATTTATTTAACATCAAAACATTTGAAATTTAATTATATTTCTTTATTTTATTTTTAATAAATTTTATTTCAATTATGTAATTTGAATTTTTAAACTTTATGTGTGGATTATATATATTATAGACTTTTAAATTTTAAAATTTTTCTATATAAAAATTATGAATTGGGTACTCGTAACCTGGATTATATATAATATAATTTTATATATATTAACTTAAAAATAATTTTATATTAAATTATTCATTATATTGTATTATTAACTTAATTTAAAAATATTTATTTTCATTTAAAAATATATAATTTATTTTAATTTATTAAAAGTATGAATAAATTGAGAGAATATTTAAATAACATTGATCAAATGTGTGATTATATCAAAATATTTAACTGTTGTTAACGAAAATTAACTCGGGGTGATCAAATCTTAATTAAATAAAAACGAAAGTGATTATATCTTAATTAAATAAAAATGAAAGTGATTATATTTATGTTTTTTGAAAACAGTGATAAAGAATGGACAAAATATAAATATAAGTGATTATTTGTGTAGTTAATTCATTTTATAATGACCAAAAGGGCAAAGGTTCTTCAATGTGTCGACTTTTTCAATAGGCTGTATACCGTCAGGCGCTACGCGGCAAAAGTGATTCGCTTTGCCAGATTTGTTAGCACTTAGATCAAAACCGTTGAAAACTTGGTCAATTATTATTTAACCCAATGTAATCTAGATCAACGTCTAAATATAGCTCAGTTGCTTCTTTTTAACATACTGGCAAAGCACCGAATAATATGAGCGGTTCGTGGAGACCGTGTATAAAATGCTAAAACCAAGAGAAGTTCATTTCCATTGAACCTTATTATGCTTCCAGCAAGGTTGCCGGAAAAAGTGGCTGTGGCCGCCGCTGTTTTGTTGCTCGTAACGCTCTTTTCTAAATCAAAAGCTGATCAAGCTTTCGATGTTCGTCAGCACCTCTCGAGTGTAACAAGGTCTCCATCTCTTTCGCTCTCCTTTGAATTGTTATTTTAACTATTTTTTCATATCTTGAATCTGATTTATCTTGTTATTTTAACAAAAAAATTTATATCCTGAATCCGATTTATATTTTTATTTTAACTATTTCTTTATATTATTGGAGCATATATGCTGCAGTGAAAGATATTGTAGACAATTCCTTTCAACCTTCTCATATTCCTGATGGGTGTACTCTTATCCACTTAAATCTCGTGGTATTTTTTTTAATTTCATGAAATTTGAATTCTTAGCCATCTTTCATTGCTAGAAATACTGTTGTATTGAAAGGAAAATAGTTTCCTTATTACACTAGGTGATTTGATAGTACTTTTT